ATTCGAAAGAAACGCGTTTTCTCAGCTTCGATGTAACGCTTTCTGTTCTTGTTCTTCCAAATGTGTTGTGTTTTTTTTTGTTTTTTGTTCTCTCTTTCTCTTTAAGTGTCGAGGGAGCAAGAACACTGCGTGATACGGTGACGCTGAAAGAAAAAAAAAATAATTTCAGCTGTACGAAACTTGCACGAATGGATGTATGCGTTCTCGGATGGAGTTGAGGAGGTTTCGCGAGTGTGGGCAGACGACGTTAACGGCTGGATGAACGCGGCAGAAGGGACGGTGTACGTACACGCATTTCACCTTGGCTGATTTGGTTCGGGTGTGGGCAAGAAGAAGAGAAAGAGAGATAGAGAGAGAGAGAGAGAGAGCACGAAAAAGGAAAGGAAGATAGAATGTCAGAGTATGTGAGGAAATGCATCTCCGCGCCATCTTGTAGCGGTTTAGTGTAGGTGTCATCACCTGGCTTCGTCGTTTGTCGGTTGCGCGAGATTTCTCCATTCCCTAGAGTTTTACAAAACATACGCCAGGAACTGGGGACGGTGAGTGGAGATCCACCGAACGTTCTTATCTTTACCATGTGAATGTTTTCATGTCCTTTTTTTTTATGCGGTCTGTTTATGAACCCGTTAAAAAAAATTAAGGACCCAGATTGTTCGAAAAGAGTGAAAAAACAACAAACAAAAAACCCGAGAGCGATTGAAATATTAAGGCAAAAAGTAACAAACAAGTGCTCGAACTCGCGTCAAACACAAACCTTGTTTCGGTGATCGCGCCTCGAGAAACCGGTCAACACATAATGCGCCCGCCAACATTCTGCACCTCTTAAAAACATTCACACCGAAAAAAAAAAGAGATTGATTCTGTTTGTTGCTGTGTTGACGACCACAAATCTGTTTTTTATCTTGCTGGTGTGACCGGGACATCCCCACCATCATAGGGGTCGACAGAAACATAATCCAAATGCCGCCATCATCGTACTATTAAACGTAGAGACGCCTTACAATAACTCCACTACATGCTCGTTTTTTGTTTTTTTTTCTGCAGCGATAATTTATGGGATTGATTTGTGCAAATGTAACAAGGTCAATGATATCGTAGAACAACGCTTTACAACGTCTGACTGCCTTGGGTTATGAGGTTATGTTAAGGTACGAGTGCGACTACGTCACTCCGATAACAAGAGATGACACGCTCGGCCGCCATCTTAAAACTGACAATAATATATATAGATGAAATTACGACTTTTGTTATGACGTTCGTGTCTTCGGCGACGCTAGGACGTACGATAAAACGAAGTATACACTAGTGTCGTTCACTGATAAACCTTCGCCGGGCAGTTCAACGCAATTATGTAATACAAGACGGAGTTCACCTCTGTCTTTTTTTACATACATAGAAAGTGAAAGAATCATCGTGGAATTCTGAGTAACTAATCATAATTATTTTCACCACTCGCAGTTACTCACCCCTCAGCTCTTGGCTCAAAAATATCTAAAACTAAAATTGAAAAAAAAAAATAAGATAAATAAAACTGGCTGCGCTCGAACATACAGTTCCAGGCGATGCGGCGCAACGAAATTGATGTCTCTTCTTTTGTTTAGTTCTTGACTCGTTTATGAAATACGGCAGAAGCATAGTGCGCCGTCGCACGCGTGCCTTACGAACGTCCAATTAGCTGACTGAATTTTCTATGCCAAAGTGGCTGGGTAATTGCCCCGTCGGTCGAACGGCTCCGAGAGGAGCGAGGCACTTGGCGGTACCGAGCAAACCACGATGAATGGTTGCTGAACGAAGGAGGGAAGAGGCTTTTTACAGCAATCAGGTCTTTGATTTTCTTTTCTTGAATTAAAGTAAATTATTTAGAAACTTTTTTCCCCTTTATTCCAAGCAACCCGTATACTGAAGTACCGGTAAGGTCGAAAGAAAAACTAAACCGAAACAGGATTCTAATGCTCGGACGGATATTTTTATATTTCGTCTGTAATCGAATTGCACCCCGCAACTTTCGGTACAGTTCCTATTTCAGCAAAAGCTGTTATTTAGCGCCGAGATGTTTCGGTGGTGCCCTCTTGAGGTTTCAGCTCGTGACGTCATATCCAGGATTTTGTTTCGCCCTGACGTCAGGAATTGTAATCCTGGCTACAATTCGAGACCATCAGTTGTGACCCAAGAGTTCGATGGCGTGCGTGCTTGTGTCTGTGTGTGCGTGCTCGTGATTGTGTGCGTGTCCGCGTGTCCGTGTGTGTTTCCGTGTGTGTGTTTGTGTGTGTGTGTATGTGTGTGATACGGGTGTTCGTTGCAGGCTCGATGACAGAATCGTCTACGGACACGCGCCTCAAGCATTGTTGAAGCATGTTTTCGTCCTCGTACATATGTGCGTGCTTCGAACAATGTCTGCGACAATTTTCGTACGCCTAACGTAAAAAGGACAGTCACACAAGGCAAGAACACGCCTCAGTATTGCAGACTGTCTCTTCTACGGTGTAGTAGGAGCTTGACGGAAACTTTCTGCTTCGCGTTCCGCGGCAGAAACTAAAATTCTCAATATTTACGGTCCAATATTGAAAATAAAGCCGAATAAAACCAAACGTAATTTCGAGGGAATACGTCAATTCCGCAGCGCGCATTTCAAAATGTGCTCCTAACATTCCGAAAAGAAAAACACAAAAAAAAAAAGAACAACACACAGATGATTTCTCCGTTATTTAAATATGAGCTGAAGAAGAAAAAAAAAAATTGCGAGAAGTCTACCGCGAATTCTAGCGCCACTGGCTTTTGGAGGCCGCTTCTACGACGTGATTAGGACAGCTGCCGGTGGCAGACTTCTTTCCGGCCCAACAGCCAGCGTGCTCACGCGAACAGGGAACGGCAACGTCACGAGAGCCTAGATCTAAGAGAGGGAGCGACTGAAACCGGCGGAGAACGTTTGCAGTTTAATGGCGGACGCTTCTCCTGCACAGATCGGTCGCAAACGCGCATGCGCGTTGCGATCTCGCGTGGCGAGGAGGAAAGCGGCCGAAAAGGGCAGAGTCGCTTGCAGACGATCGCTGCTTTTGATTCCCCTTTCAGCCAGGCTCGTTCCTAACGCATTACTTGTACGTACTTACTTTTTTCGGTAACAAAGCAGTGACCTAGTTACCTTGTAAAGGAAGGATCGAGTAACGTATTTTTTGTTACTTTCTGACGAAATAACGAGCCACGATATTCGGTTACTCTTGGAGAAAAACGTGTACGACACAGGTACTCAACTTAAGCGGATCGCAAGTTCGTCTGCTTCTTTTGCAGAAGTTGTGACGTCAGAAAGACGCCGAGCTCTGATTGGCTCCGACTGAAGGATAGTGGGTAGACCTCGAAGCAAGCTGCCTTAGATCTACCCATTATCTTTCATTCAGAACCAATGAGAGCTCGGCGTGTTTGTGACGTCACAACTTTTGCAAAAGAAGCAGACGAACTCGTTCTCCGCATAGTTCTCACTCCAGCTTGCGCCTGTAATTCGCACTACGACAAAAACGTTAGATGGACGATACCATTGTTCACATGATATTTTAGTATAGTCGCAGTTATCCCCGAATGAACGCGTTAGAAAGCGAGGAAATACTGCAAGCGGCTACTGCTTCCGGAAAACGACATATTTGGAGTAACCAGAATATGACCCGTTTCTTTCGAGCTGAGGTAACGCGGTGGTGAATCGCAGTAACGTGTAACGTACTTAGTTATATTTTGAATATGTAACCAGTAGCGGCATTTCGTTACCCCATTTGGGTGCCGTGTACATGTCTGCTTGCTGCTCGCATCGCCAACGCGGCCCGTTAATCACGTGACCCCGGAACGAGAAGTTAGAAACACTCTCAGGTCTAGCAACACTAGCAGACGTCACCAGCACGGGCGTGCGCGAGGGTTCGCGGCACGAACTTTAGCAAAGTACAAACATGTAGAGAAGACAACGCGGATGTCTGCAGAGGACACAACGGGAGGCCAAACAAGGAAAAGTTTACGCGTCGCGTCCGGGTATTCTCGAGCGAAACGGCGCGGGGAAAGGAAGTTACTACGGCGCATGCCCGCCCTTGCCCAACCGGAAACGAGAGTGACGATGGGAGGATTGCTTTTGTGTTAGGGTCCTCTGCTTTGTCGTGATGAGACATCTTGGTGTCTCATCACGATTGTTAGTTGCCCCCCCCCCCCCCCCCCCTCCCCAGCGTTAGTTGCCATCAATACTATCATTCCAACATGACCCCTAAAATTAATACTTATGAAGTTAAGTAACAAATTATGGTCAATTAGCCAACTTATTATTACGATTATTCCCTCATTTAATGTCCACCCAGCCTGATTAAGACATCGTGTAGAAGGCACTAAGATCTTTTTTTTTTTTTTCTGCACCATAGTGTGAGGTGTTAAACGACATGACTAACTGTGGCCTTCTTTTTCTAAAAATATGTTCGAATTAAAATGTAACACCAGTTATAGATATAGCGCCTTTCTATGCTTACGTAAGGCTACCAATGTTTTTGCGTGAGGTAACACGCTGCATTTTGGTACTGGTACAATAGAGGCCTAAAGACCCACTCAGCTACGAGACAAGGTGCATCGAGAGCATTACTAAATATAAGATAAACGTCAGTGGTACAGATCCTTGTAGTGATGGCGCTTCACATTAATTACACTCATAATGTTAAGTGGCCAAATTACAGGTGGTGCGGTGTGTGACGCTCAAAGAGCTACCAGGATTTGAGTAATTATAAATGTATGAGACAACCAGCTAAGCAGTGTAACATATGCCTTTTAGTAACTCGTTCCTAATTGGTTACTCCATCGACTACTTACAGACGAATCATTCAAGCTGGGAATAGTTCACCAGTACCATCATCATCAGCAGCAGAGGCAACAACAACAGCGTCGTCTGCTTCCAGCGCTGTGAGTTGCCACGGTCGACAAGAGCTCCACTTGAGGGCCACAGCGACCTGACAAGAGAGAAAGCAGACGACCAGTAGGCTGATCCAAGATGGCGACCGATCACGTGCTCGAGCTGTCCGGGGTGCACTACACAGGACCCGTGGCTCCTCCTACCTGCTTTCAGGCCTTCACGGGAACCGGGGTTACGGCGCCCCTTCTCAAGGATGTCAGTCTGGAGCTGCACGCTGGAGAGGTCATGGCGGTGCTCGGATCCAAGGGTAAGCACTGCTTGTGTGAATGGAGAAAAGAGACGGCTGACGTAACTTTCTTTAGTAGGGAAACCTCCACTCATCTAATATTGGGGAGGAGATCCAACCGCCGTGCCTCTAGCGGCGAATCCGAGAACTAAACCGATCGGGAAAACAACAACGTGAAATATTTGTTTGCGTTTCTGACGCAGCGCCTTGCTGACATAGCCGAACGTTGCGTTTGGCCTAAAGTCTCGTGTTCGGTCAGTTAAGCTCCCATTAGACACGAGTTTCAGTGGAACGCGAACGCTGCACTCGTGCCCAATTTGCGCCCCTCAGCCCCGCACTTGATCGAGAAAGGTGACGGAAAGAGTCCAGCCCACAAGCCTTGTGTTGGGTAAACACAAAGCTCTGTGGAAAACAAGCCGGACAAAACGCCTCCTGAAGTTTGATCTTATTGCTGACAAGGCATTTCATCTGACGATGAACCGCACCGGAGCCCATCACAGCCGTATCAGCCGACCTAGCGATGTGAATGAATCACGTGGCAACGCGCCGATCTTTAAGGTCACGTGATACTCATGCAACAATAGATTGATTACGACAGCGCGTGGCGTACGTTGCGGTCCATCGTAAGGTGAAACGGAGTTTATAAGCATGCAAGACTGTCGTGTAGGCACTATGTATACTAAAACGTAATGACGTCACTTTGACTTTCATGACATAGTCGAACCAAGGCGTCCGATATTTCTCTTGCCATCAAAGCTCTCCTCAGGCCGTTTCAAGCGCTCGGCCGCCCGGCAGAGGAAGCTTGATGACTCCCTATTTTTAGTGCCACAATAGAAGAGAAATATAATTGGCTAGGTGGCGCGAGTCACCGCCCGATTCAAAGAAAACAACCACCATGATGGTCTAGGGGAGATTCCTCAGGGCTCGTACCCTGAGCGCGCGAGGCGTCTTTAGTCAACGGGCGCCACGACGTAACAGTGGTAGCTGCGAGTCCTTTTTCTCATTTCAGTAATGCAAAAAGCATGTCTAAAAGGAACTGGTGTTGAGCGAGGCTGCGACCACACAAACGTCAGCTAACAACAGCTACCCCCGAAGCTAAATACACCGCAAACATGGCTCCGTTACCTCCCGTCCTGCTTTGGCTGTACGTGCACGCTCGATGCTCACGATACGTCAAAGTAAGCGTAATTCAAGGTACATGAAGTTCGCATTAGAGCCGGGACAACTGAAAGCTATCCCCGTCGTCCTCATGCTGTCAGTGGCTTTTGAAAAAGTTGATTGTTCGCCGACCGAATGGCTCGTTTGCTTCCCAGGAATTGGCAAAGGACTGCCTTCTTCAAACGCTGCTGGGCCATTAATTAACTTTTTTGTAAACAATCAAATGGTCATTGACTGTAGATTCCGCCTACTTCCCAGGGAGCGGCAAAAAGGCCCTGCTGGAGGTGGTGGCCCGCCGGGCCATGGGTCCCACGCGGGGACAGATCCTGCTCAACGACGTGCCCCTCACGGTCCGGCTGTTCCAGGAGCAGTGCGGCTACGTGGCACGTCGGGTGACGCTCGTGCCCGGAGTCACCGTCAGGCAGACGCTGCACTTCGCGGCCAAGCTCACCGTCGCCTCCAAGGTGTCCGGATCCGTCAAGAGGGGAAGGGTGAGTGCGACACGGCGTACATATCCATACGAAAGAAACAAGAAGAGAAATGTGACGGAGTGAGGGCCGCACCGATGAGAAGATGCGCCAAGGACCCTAGTAATATAATAACGTTGCCAAATACCTCGCCTAAGAAAAAAAAAAAAAAAAAGAGAACATCAACAAGCGTTTGTACATTACCACTTAGAAAACTGTTAAGACATACTTAGAGGTTCCTTGAACGCGTCTAAGTGGAAAATACTTTGCAGTTCGACAACATCACGCTGCGAAGCACTGTTATTTTAGCTTCACCGCAGTCTGTACCTTGGCGTCCACGAGTGCCAGCAGTGCGGCTGTCGTCAGATGCCTCTAAAAAGTCAAAGACGCGCTCGTGGTAACGCGAACGCGTTGATGCGAACCCGGCGACGCGAACGCAGCTACACAAGGTAGGCCGTCAGTGCTCTGCACGTTACTGCTCACTACAGGGGTTACACCAGCCGTATAAAAAGCGTTTTTAATCTAGTTGCTATCGCCTTCACGGAATAACATTAATATGTACCCATAATGCAAACATAGTAGTTCAATACTTTACCTGTGCTAACGTGTTGGAATAAAAAAGAAAACCCAAAACATGACCATGCGTGATTAATGCCGGTGATTGCAGACGTACTTTGGTGAGCCTTCTTTTTTCACGTGACCCCCCGGTGTGACGTCACTGACCGCGAGGAATGCGCAGGTGAAGCAAGTGATGGCCGACCTGGCCCTGAACCAGGTGTCCAATAAGGAGGTGAGCACACTGTCAGTGAACGAGTACCGGAGACTGAGCATCGCCATGGAGCTTGTCAGGGACCCAGGTACCGTAAAGGAGATACCCGACCTCCTCATTACGCTCTACTTCTCCAGGAACTTTGAACCTCACCATTTTTCCTGGTCTTTACCATTTTTACATCCAGACCAGGTTCAATCACCCCCTCCCATCGCCACCAACATTCACCTTCTCATCAACCTTTGCATGACCTCAAAATTTTACCCTATCAACAACTTTAATTTCCTCAACATCTTTTACATTTTCCTCAGCCTTTTACCTCCTGACAAATTTTGATTCCTGTCTAACTTTAGCCTTCTCATCCGAGATGAACTCCTCGCCCATCTTCACCGCTTCCCGATCTTTGCTTTCCTCGCCGTTTTTGGCCTCCTCTGGATATAACTCAGAATATAAGTTGTGGGATTTCCATTGCTGCTACCCGTCTCGGGGAATGACACAGAACATCAGTTCAACAACACGTAACAATTTATTGACTGCTATCGCCTGCGCCGCGATCCCAACCGCCCCCGGGCATTTGCTGCGACATCCCTTTATCAGCGGCGGAGCGCCGCTCGCGTGGCCAGTTGCCCTTGGCCCTCTCGTGGTCAAGATGACAACTCATGATTGTCGGAGGGGCAGCCTGGGCTCCTTGCAATCCCCAAGTTGCCCACAAAGTATATATCAAATTACGTCACAATTTGCTGAGTCAACTGTGTAACTTCACGGGTGTTCCAGATGTCATGACCTGTGAGAATAGACCTTCGTCCAGACAGGCTTCTGTTCCATTTCATATAATAAGACTTAGTTCTTGTACCTCATCAGTACCGTGTCTTTTAATGAACCTGGATTGCATCTCAACAACACGTAGAGCGCAAACAGACGCCGGCGGACTAAGGCATTACAGGTGTTTCAATTACATTCCTAACCAGTTTCGACCTGATCTACTACTGTACTGTCCCGAATTTTGTTTAATAATTCCTGGGTCTGCAGCCATAATACTGCGCTGACTAAATCGCAACTTCACATCCGACACACAACTCTCATTCCCTTTAGGTATAAACCAATTTCCTCATGTCTAAATATATTCATACAACTAGTCGGACTTTCCTTTTGGTTTAACTTCGCATAGGCAACGACCCCTGCGTCATGTACTTTCTGGCTGCCCTCCTTCTGAATACAACATAAGAATCAACAAACGAAGGGGACGGAGATTGATGCCTGTATTGCACGTGCAGTGCTGATCGTGCTGGACGAGCCCACGGCTGACCTGGACCCCCTGAACACGTACTTCGTGGTGTCCATCCTGGCCAACCATGCCAAGAAGTACAACCGCCTCGTGCTGCTCACCATGTCCAAGCCGAGGTCGGACATCTTCCCCTTCCTCGACAGGGTGGCCTACCTCTGCCTCGGCGAACTCGTCTACACAGGTATTTAGGTTTCCTCGTTAGAAGATGCTCTGGAGAGCTGATTTTACCTTGTCTTTTTAACGAAACGATCTTTGGCTAGTTGCTCCGGATTTTGTGAAGCCGTGGCCTGTGACTTTACATTAGTTCAGTTTCCTCGCTAGGTTTAGCGGGAAAATTGACGACACGTGACCTCAAGTTCAATATGGTTTCCCCCTCTAAATTTAGCGGGAAAAATAACGTCACATGACTTCCTGTCACGTTACCTCAACGCCAATTCAGTTTCGCCGCTAAAGTTAGAAGGGAAAATGATGTAACATATGACTTCCATGTCACGTTACCTATACACAATTTCAGTTTCCGCGCTAAATTTAGCGAAAAAATTGACGTCACAGCTAATTGACGGCAACAAATGACGTCACAGAAGCTCGAATGTCATGTTGTCGGATGTCGCGATCCTGGCGGCTGATACTAGAGGCGACAACATTACCTTTGTGACGTCACCATGAAAGAAATCGAGGGACGCACCTTTTTGGACAACGGTAAACACACCAGTTAAAAACGCGTCCCAGGCACCCTACTACCACCAAGAAGCGCTTGCGTACCGCATTAATTACCTCACGCGATTCTACTTGCGATCATCGGTTGCTACGTCGAGCAACCCAACTTTCGTTTTACGCAGAAGGTGAGTCGCTCGGAAGAGAGCGCCGTCGCAACCGAAAACCTCGAGCAAAATGGCGCCACGCAAAACAGGCTTTAAAGCGTCGCAACGACGCCACCCAGGCCGCGCCGTTACCACCAACGTCGTCGCGGCGTCAAATCGTGACTTCTCAACCGTCGTGCTCGTCTCTCCGTAACGCAGACCACTTTCCACGCACGCAGGCCACACGCGCACGATGCTGGAGTACTTCCGGAGCATCGGCTTCCCCTGTCCCGAGCTGGAGAACCCCCTCATGTACTACCGTAAGTCCTCTCGCCCGACACGTCCTACATATCAAGGCCTCACTGCCACATTTCTACGTCATCTCTCGGAGGCCAGCCCGGGCAATCAATCAGAAATGCATCTATTATATCACTGCACAGGAGCGCTGCGTAAGCGTTCTGCTGGGAACATCGTTCCTGGCCAAACACTGACTTCATCACTCGTGTCCAGTTTATGGATTGCATTGGACCCCGGTCGGTGACGCAAGAGACCAGGAGCTACGGCCTTGGCTACTAGGAGACGTTGTTTAGCCTCGTCGTCGACGGGTCCCCCGCCGGTGCTTCCGAGAGCAACGGCGGCAAAACAGCAGCCTGTCAAGTGTTGTTCGGTCGCTATATTTATCTAGCGGACGTCGAAGATCCGGAAGAGGGGAAACGGCGGCGAGCTGTAATTGGCCGCCGGAAGAGGAGAGGCTTTCCGACGGCCCGGCGACGGTGTCGAGTGCAATGTCTGGCTAGTTTTACGCGATAATGTCTCTCGGGAAGCTTTAGCGAAGCTAATTGTACCCGACGCGGGCAAAGTCCCCGGTAGAAGGGTAAAGTGATTCAATAAAACTGCATGGGTTACTGTAATAAGTTAACTTATGAGCAAATAATTTGTCTCCAACTTAAAACAAAATCTTCATAACTGAGACGTAGTTAAATGTTTGAATTAACTTGTCAGCGAGTCGAATTAGTGCTAGTCAACAAAATTAAGTTGAGAGGTACATTGCTCCTTCAAATTACTGGATGTGGCGTCGTTGCGACGCTTTAAACGCCAAAACACAAAAACATTTACCCTTTATTTATTTTATTTACGTTGTACCTACATCGCCCTGTAGGCATTATTGTAAGGGTTTTTAAAAAAACACTATGACAAGTGGGGAAAGAAAACGACATTATCATCAATGAACACAGTATCTTCCGGGAGGTCGTTCCACTGTCGCGCGGTTTTAAAAAAAGAATGAATTAGCAAAACTGTCAGTCCTGTAAGTGGAACCAGCAACCTTTTTAGAATGATCATAACGGGAAGAGACGTAGGATGCCTCCATAAGATAGGTGGCTTTAATCAATTCCTGTTTTGTTGTGAAAGACACGGTGTAAGAATTTTAGTCTTAGGTTTTTTCTTCTACATTCGAGGGTTTCCCATCCCAGCATAGCTTTCATATTTGTAACACCAGCATAAGGGCCATAGTTGTTCAGTACAAAACGAGAGGGCTGATTTTGAATTTTTTTCTTGTTTACTTATAAAAAAAAGTCGTGATAAGGGTCCCACACAACGCACGCATAATGAAGGACCGTTCTTACCAAAGAAAAATAAAGTGTTTCTTTAACGTTTCGTGACGCGGATCTAGAATTTCGGTGGATAAAATAAAACGTTTTACTCCCCTTTCCGATTGTACATTCTATATGACTGTTTCATTTTAGGGAATCCGCAAATAACACTCCTAGGTAAATATACTCGAACAAAGTACATAAAACGGTCCTGATGATTTACGGGACCGTTTTAAGATCGAGTAAATTTTGGAACGCGATTAGGGTGTGTGTCTGCGTTCCCGAGGCCTTTCGCTGCCACGTGCGTCGTCCGCTGTGCCAGCTCCAACTCTCCTTTCTTTTCGCCAGCATCCTATATCGTGACGAAGTTGGGCACGAGAGATCAAACCAGTCGTCTAAAGAACATGGAAAAAGACCGAGGGAGACGAGGAGACTAGAGTGCCTTCATGTTCGCTTAGCGAAGCGGGACATGAAGGTACCCCGGAGAAGACCAGAAGGCGCGTGGACGTCAGAACACCAAGCCTTGATTGGAATGACTAGTGGGTATAGTCACGAAGGCTAGCTGCTTTTGCCTCTATACCCACCGTTCGAACAGGTTCGAATGCGTACGAAAAGTGGGGTATAGGAATAGCCCTAGCAGCATGGTAGTAGATGGTAATGAAGTTGATGAGAAAGGCAGTGCCACAGACGAGTGCCGGCAGAATGAAGGCAATCATGAACATCTGCTTGATCCTACGATAAAGACAACGGCAGCCATCTTGTGTGTCTGTCCTCGCATCGATCCGGCCAGCTAGGGCTGGAAGTTCTGAATAAAATCCTAGATAAGAGCCTCTTACGAGTAGCGACATTCTTTGAAGAGCCAACTGCGTGACGGTGCAGGTTTTAGGAAACGAATCGCGGTGCAGAGCAGAGGTTTGAACTGAGTGCCGCCATTTTGGTCCAGAGGAATGTGGTCTGTCATTTGTATTGGTTGTCGTTACTTGTAAAGAGAAGTGCTGAGGGATATTAGTTCCGACGTCACCGTGGGTTCTCACAAGCTCACCTATCTTCTCCTCTCCCTCACTTTCTTTCATTATTGCATTCTATCGGAAGATGCGTAATCAAGAATTCGAACCTCGTCGTGTTTGGCGGTTTTCTTTTTCTTGCCAGTAGAGTGGAAGTGGCGTCATAACGAAGCTAACCCTTCTAGAGACTTATTATTATTGAAAGGGTGTTGTTGTTGATGTTGTTGTCGTTGCCTTTAAAGCAACTTAAAAATTGCTACATGAAGTTGCTCACAACTATAACTAATTATCTAGACAACCCTGCAGAGCGGCGTCTGTGGGAGCAGTTGGTTCCTATAGTCTTAATAACCATACCCGCTGTCAACACTCTCAAAGGAAATATTATCAAGTATCGTACATTGCTCAAATGCAGCAAGTGGTTCTTACGATAATCGGTTGTTAGAGCAAACAGTGGTGATTTTGCTCTCGAAACGTGTAGATTTTAATGGAACAGCTAATGTGAAATGAACATTCAAGGATTCATTCGCTTCATTATGAAAACAATTAGTAATGCTTTCAGCATAATTTTTTTTGGTTGTTGGGTTGAAGGTTATTAAAAAGTGGCAAATACACGCTCGGTAAAAACGGGCAACGCACCAGCGTTACCGTAGCAACTGTTACGTGATTCCCGTAGCGAGGTTTAGTAGAACGCTCCAATAACTTTCAATAACGATAGCCGATAACGATACGAAGCATCGGGTATTGTTATCGGAGCCACTTGATGCTAATGATTATTGTTGCCGGTTATCTGAAGCTTTATCTAAAATCGTAGGAAACTTTACACCGTTCCAAAAAAGTCAAAGCCGCATCAGCGCTACTGTCAGCACTGACTCTGCACTGTACGTTAGCGCTGCGGTGTACGTAAGAACGGGAGTTAAAGCTTAAATTTTTCTCATAGGTATAATAAGGATCGTCGATTGGAGGGGCTAATAATGGTACTAGTTGACTTTTACTAGTTCTAAGAAAAGAGGACCGTGTTTCTTTTGGCCCGAGGAGATGAACTATGCACTGCAGAAAGCTCAAACTCTGCGGCAATGCGACGCCAACGGTTGGGATAAAACGCGAAAGTTTGAAAGCTTGTCGTTGCCTGGGTCAAAAGATACACGAGAAAAACAAATTTATTATTGAGCTGACATTCACCTAAGCATATATTGTCATAAAAAAACAACATCATAAACCCATGCAGCATTAATTTTAGTAAAACAAACTTGTCAGCACGAAAGGAAACAATATTCTCTTCCCTGCTAACAAGTGTCTTCGACTGATATGAATCGCGCAGGCATTCTCAATATCCTTTCTTGTTTCGACAGTATTAGGTTTAGGTGTGCGTCGACTCATAAAGAAATATCGTTTTTCCCAATTATTTCTTGATCCAGGTAAAGTCCTGTTCTCAAACTTCCGCGTCCTATTCCAACCGCTAGCGCCACTTTCTCATGAAGTTAGAGCTTTCTGCGATGTACCGTTTATTATACCCAGGCCAAAAAACACGGTTGTGTTTTCTCGGGAACTCCCTGTAGTACTGGTGAAGGCCGAGCGAGTTGAACATGAATACATAAAATTGAAAGAATAAAACACAGAGAGACAAGCACAGGACAACCGCTTTCTTTCAAAGAAAGTGGTTGTCCTGTGCTTGTCCTCTGTGTTTTATTCTTTCAATTTTATGTATCCCTGTAGTATTTTGGATATTCATCGCCGTCAAGCTGAATAGAAATATTAATATACACCTGCACAGGAAGAAACAATGGGGACCTTTTTTGCGAGCTCCACTTTTGAACCACTATTGTATGTACGTAAACCCCTCAATTGCGCCCCCTCTGCACTAAGTACCACAATAACGGCGCTCACAAGATACTCGGGAAATCGGGTGCCGATACTCCAAAGGACTGTTCGCACGTATACCGCAACGCTACCTTAGTGTTGTTAGCGCTGGGTATAGCACTGATATATAACTAGGGTGTGTACTTTCCGGTGTTTATTTGTGAGAAAAATCGGCGGATGTTTTTTGGTGTTTATTTATTTTCAAAACACCGGTGTATTTCGGTGGAACGTCTCACGACAAGGCTAAAATGGTGATTATCGGTGGAAAAAAATGCGATTGATCACAAACAGAGAGTTCCAATTTTATTCACATATTCCATACACTTCTTTTTTAGGAAGCATATATTTCTCACACTTGGTTATTATAGTAGATGAAAACATACTTTGAGAGGCTTGCATCCGTCATGGCAGCACGTTCCTTGCGGTTCACAACCCACAATTATGAAAACGCACACTCCTGTATGACACGGACGTTGGCAGTGTCTTCCAGGAACCACAGCAACCTCTGAATACATGGCTTGCACCGACATCACTTGGCCAGACATAATGGCGATAGGGCACGAGAGAGCCTACCCTCCACCGCGTTAATTTTTCCACAAAAGGGGACCATGGGAGACACAATAGGGGAACAGTGTGTGAGAGCTTAGCTTCCACTGCGTTCACTAGACGCTTTTGACCACCAGAAAGGAGGGCGGACTGACACCATGTGCAAGCCGTGTATAAACACTGGAAGGATGCAGGATCCACGAGATAACACGTTTGACGAACCTCTACGGGGAAAAGGTTTCGCTAGGTCGGAATCATGCCACGACCGGTGTTTTTTGGTTTTAACCAGAACGAAAAAATCCAACCACCGGTGTTTTTCGGTTTTTATTAGATTTTATATTTTCGTCACCGACGGATGTTTATCGGTGTTTTTCGGTTAAAACCGGAAAATACACACCCTATATATAACCTGTTTTTATCGTCAGGTATAACATATATAACCTGTCCTTATCGTCAGGTAAATTTCCCACTAGTATGAAATTGGCTAAAGTTTCAGTAATTCTTAAAAGTGGTGACTCAAACGTTGTCACCAACTACAGGCCTATATCGGTGCTACCTGTGTTTTCTAAGGCACTTGAGAAAATGATCTTTATGCGTCTCAATTACTTTTTTCTTAAACAGTTTGTATTGAGAGAATTTCAATTTGGACTTAGGACAGGTAAATCCACCGAGACAGCTTTATTGCTGCAAAAAGAAATTATATTACAAGGTATTGAAAAAAGGTTGCTTACATTAGGCGTGTTCATCGACTTTTCTAAAGCTTTCGACGCGTTAAATCAGAAAACTTTGCTGGCAAAACTAGACTACTATGGTGTCCGTGGCGTACCCCATAAGCTAATTGAGTCATACTTAAAGGAGCTGTGCAACGATATTCAGTTGGAATGTTTTTCTCTCTACACGAGCTTACTGGCACACCTGGGACTCAAGGATACTCACACGCAACGCCATTGGCCAAGAAACTCCTTTGTTGCGGTGTAACTTCAAGGACAAAAGCGGTCATTTTCATTCAGTCTCTCCTTTGCAAAATTTGATGACGTAACTCGGGGATCGCAGTACACCCAAGTGACGATATTTGATTGCGGTTCATAGATTGGACCCGAGCATTGCGTGGGCACTCGACTTAGGCTCGTGACAATCGCTAGCTCGAGAAGTATTCGGGTTGTGACCCGTGTCCAATCGCTGCAACGACGACAACAGCCGAGCCATAACAATGTCTGGAACTCAGCGCGTGTCCTGCGCTTTGCCAACCCCAGCGCGTGGCTGTGATCAACACTGGCGGCATATAATCGGCTCCAGATCACGTGGCCGCTTTTCTGGCTTCGAGTTGAGGGGGTGAACGCTGCTCGTTTTTCTTTAATTTTTTTTCTGGGACTTCTATTGCGTGGGGTGAAAAACGAACGCGTGTTTCATAGGTCATTAACGTTAGGGATCCGTTTTAAGCGGTATTTGCGCAAAGTACAAAAATTGTTGCATAGCTCCTTTAAAAGATCGTAAACAGTCTGTTGTCATTAATAATCATGCTTCCTCTTTTCAAGACGTTCCTTGTGGGGTACCTCAAGGAAGTATACTTGGGCCCTTCCTGTTTAATGTTTACATCAACGACATTGTTAGCGTTGATAACCAAGCACAGTTCATCATTTATGCCGATGATACAAGCCTTTTTTTTTTTTCTGCGGATAGTGCCCACGAATTAATATGTCGCGCAAATTTTGTTCTTCAGAAATACGTTTTATAGTCGAAGGCTAACGCGCTCAGGATTAATGTGAAGAAATGCAAAGCAATTATTTTTAGATCCGTAAATAAGTCTATTTTAACTCATAGCCTAATTCTACTTGGCAATTCGCGAATAGAAATCGTTAACCAGCACAAAATATAAGGTTATACTTTTCGGAACATGTGACCTAAGACGCCCATGTAAACTTTTTGATTTCTAAACTGTCTCGTATTGTCGGTGTATTTGCTCGTTGTCGTGGTAATTTGCCACTTCATGTTAAGTTAAAAATATTTCACGCATTACTTCTGTACCCATTTGAATTACTGTCATCTCGTCTGGGCTACTACAACTAAAACAAATATAAATAAATTATTTTTGCTCCAGAAAAAGGTCTTACGACACATTGCGGAAGTACACTATTTTGATCACACTGAATCTCCTGTTTACTAAGTGTAATATCCTTCCTATGAAGCATTTGTATGAATACCGCCCGATGCGTTCCATTCGTTTTGCACCGGCATCAGTTATTGAATTCTTATATCGTATTTCGAAATTAACTGAAAGCCTCAGCATCGTCAGCACACGTCGTACAGAGTTTTGGGCTATCCCTCGGTCACGTACAAACTATAATCTGCATTCCCTGCGGCATATTCTTCCATCTTTGTTAAATACATGTCTCACCAAGCACATAGATGTATATTCGGATAGCAAGAAAGATATCTTGTCGTATTTTATTTAGTTGGTTTTTGTTGTATTTTTAATTTTTTAAATGAATTGTAGTATTTATTTTCATGTATCTATATGTGTGCGCACTGTGTATTCATTTTTTTTTTTCTCTATTGAATGCTGCTGCCTGTAAACGGGGGAGCCTGTGCCCAGTCAAGCTGTTCTTGAACAGCTTTTTGCCTAGACTCCCCTCCAGAATTTCTGGAGAATAAAAAAATATTTGATTGATTGATTGATTTTGCGGATGAAGCCCCAATTTCGCGCTGTATTAGTGACACAGCGCTGATCAGGGTAGAAAATCAAAATCAAGATGATTAAAATCGTGATTTAAATCGCATTAGCTTTGCTGTGACGGTCTAAAACCAACCTTTCCCTCAGAAATAAATCTCAAAGTATTTGTTTACATACAGTTTGTCTTTTACTTGATGGTTTCGTTGTGAGTTTGCTTTGTATCTTAATCAAATAAGTATCAAGCAAGAAAGATCGCAGCAGGCTAAACATGAGAAAAAAGCAGTGTTTTTCGTTCGTCAGTTAAGTCGTGTTTTATTAGATGGAAATCATTATGCAGAAGAAATAAAAACATGCAAAGTAATGCCCTATTGCAAGCAAATCAAAACGTACAAGATTCCCATTAAACTGTTTTACTGACAAAAAAGAAGACCAAGCTGCTTTTGTTCTAGCATGGCGTGATTTGCACCAGTAAACTTTGTTAATTAAAGTATACTTTATATGTACAGTAGCTCTTTTGTTCCCATTGTTTTAAATTATTCGAAAGATTAATCAATCAATCCACCATGTATATGAAATCATCTAGCAATAAATATCTTTGGCTAGCTACGGTGATTGAAATCAACTTAGTGCGGTTTAAATTAAATAAGTCTGATTTAAATCAATTACATCTGGTTTTCACGGTAACGTATGTGTAAACAGGCCCTTAGTCTACCTTAAAGGGTAACTGCAAAAGAAAAAAAGTGTTTTTTTTTGTTTTTTAAACAGCCTATATGGGACAAGCATGTCACAAGACAAATCTTCTACGAAAAAACTATCTTTTTTTTTTTAGCAATATTTACGCCACAGGACGTAATTTAGTCGGAGTCACAACTTCTCCACATTTGAAACTCGCGCTCTTTCGACGCGCGCGGAGTGGCTGTTATACGTCACTCCGTGACGTGTAGCAGCCACTACGTGACGTGTAATACAAACTTTGTGGCGCGCGATTTAAAACGGACTGAATAACCGCAAACTAAAACCAGTCTCGAGCAATAAATATTGCTGTAAAAAACTTTGTTTTTGGCGGAAAAATTGTTTTGTGACATGCTTGTCCCTATTAGGCTGTTTAAAAATACACTTTTTTTTCTTTGCAGTTACCCTTTAAGTAGTGGCTCAAATCGAAGCTATAAAAAAGAAACGATAAAATGAAACTTCCCAATGATGACGCCGTGTACGTCGTCGACTTCCTCGCCCCCCACAGTGTGCCTGGCCACGGTGGACCGTCGCTCCCGGGAGCGCTTCATCGACTCGAGCAGCCAGATCCAGACCCTGGTGGAGAAATTCCGGACGGACGGCTCCCGCTACCGCAAGGGGGGCCCGCCCTCCGAGATGGGAAACATGACCGAGTCGTCGCAGTACAAGCTGCCGCTCACCGCCTACGGACAGCCGTCCTGCTGGCACACCTTCTGGGCCCTCTATGGGTACGATCTGAATCGGTATTTGGACGACACCAACCGCGATTGGCACCCTATGCATGGCTGGCATGGATGGTGCATCGCGGCTGCCATTGGGGTGAACCTTGCTGCCAAGTGTATACCAACGCTACTAGAGCAACTCAGTTGAGGAACTGTCCATTCACGCTGCTTCGACGCGCATAACTATACCATGAAATACAGGCGTACAAAAGTTTGCAGACGATCGCTTAAGTCGCTACGTTTGCGAGCTTTTATGAAGTAAACATAATGCAGTTAACGACTAATGTTATTTAGAAAAAAACTTAACTAAACGAATACATCCCCCCAACATTAATAGACTTCTCTTAATAGTATTACCTAAAATATTTGCTGCTAAATATGACCACACCGGCTGTGCACGTAAATGTTAATGCCCACCTCTTCATGATGCACATTGGTGTGCGTTCCGCTATTGTCTTTTTTACATTTTTTTTCTAGGAGAAACTATTTATGGATTAGCTTATTCTACAGAATAGGAAACAATACATGAAATATAGACCTTTGCAAAAATCGTCTTCTGCGCGCTGCCATCTTTGTCTGCTGGGCTGTGCAGCGCCCTCTGAGCATGCGCTGTAGCTCCGTCCTGCTATAATTCAGACGCTGCGCATGCGTCCACAGCTCAGTGACTCAGCATTTTTCGCCCGGGTGATAAGCGATGCAAAGGTCTATAAAGGGATTTAAGAGTGGTGACTAGCAACCCCATTTTACTTCGTATCTGGACGTCACCCTAAGGGCGGTCTCCCCCCACAGGCGGCTGTGGGCCTCGTCGTTCAACTGCAACGGTCGTGCCATGGGCCACCTGGGCTTGAGAGTGGCGCTGATGCCGGTGCTGTTCGCCCTGCTGCTGCTCTTCTACTTCCCGCTGTCAGGCTTCCAGCACAGCTTCCTCAGCAGAAACGGGCTCTTCCTCAGCTGCTTCGTGGCGTCGTCCTTCGGAGCAGCCGCCATCACGGCCGTCACGTGTGAGCACGACAACCCCCCATCTGCCCCTTTCACCCTTCCTTATCCCAATCATATCCATCATCCTCACGTCAGTTTTGTTCTACAGGGTGGGTTTCTTCTGACTCACAGCGTACACGGCGGCAGGCTAGCAAACACTCTAAAGTATGTTTTTTTTTACCTATCTGCCTTGCCTGGCACGCTGCCGTGTGCGGTGCACATGTTTCATGCCAATAGATCACTTAATCCTCCTTGAAAACATATCAACTTACAAATATCTAGATGTTCATATCTCTTCTGGCCTATCATTTAAAACTCACACCGAATATACCGTTAATAACAGTAACCGCGTGCTTGGATATTTAAGACCTAACTTTTCTCTAGCTCCATCATCATTAAAATTACTGCTTCATAAAACACTGGTGCGACCAAAACTTGAATATGCATGCTCGGTCTGGGATCCCGGTGCAGAAAGCCTCATATCAGCGCTTGAAGCCATCCAAAACCGGTCAGCACGTTTTATATTATCAAACTACTATCGTACATCAAGCGTCACATTCATGAAAGCTAGTGTCTCACTGCCCCTTCTTTCCACTCGTCGCAATATCTCCCGTCTCTGTTTATTTCATAAAATTTACTATGCCCAATTCACTCTTGAAAAGCAACTAATCAGTGCCCCCGTCTACGTATCATCTCGCCTCGATCACTGCTGCAAAGTTGCTATACCCACTTCCATCTCAAATTCTTTTTTCAAATCTTTCATCCCCAAAACATCTCGTGAATGGAACGGCCTTCCCTCACCCTTTGCGTCCTATGGCGATTTTGTTCTCTTTAAAGAAGCACTAACAAGTTACTATTCATGATCTGTGCCGGACTAACCATTTTCTGCGTTTTTCTGCTTCCGTTGCCCACCCCCTCTATATTGCTTCGGCCCTGGGGGTGTAATAAATAAATAATTAAATAAATAAATAAATAAGTAGATAGATAGATAGATAGATAGATAGATGGATAGATGGATAGATGGATAGATAGATAGATAGATAGATAGATAGATAGATAGATAGATAGATAGATAGATAGATAGATAGACAGATAGATAAATAAATAAATAAATCCCTTAACAAGTGTAGCGATACATGGTGCATCGTCTCGTACGAGCAGCGAGGTTTTAAACCGTTGCTCCGCTTTGAATGCATCCCACAAAAGACAGCCTGCAGATATTGCCCGAGACGTGTTTCTTTTTTGTATGACGGACTCAGAAAACGGAGAAACATGTCAAATCATCTGAGACATTTATAGCACACTTCTACGTGTGCTGAAAAAAAAACAAAAAACACCGGTACTCATTTTCACCACAAAAAAACAAACAAAAAAAAACACGCACTAAATAAAAGTTTTGACCTAAAGCGGATCATTAATACTTTCACCGTTTATGAAATGAACATGTGGCCAACCTTCTGGGACATATCGTGAAATGAAAAATAAAGGTTTTCAAGGACGTATCGAAATTCTAAATGATTTGCTTTCTATGATACCCAGGCAATTAGAGTCCTCGGGAACATTACGATCTTTTGTCAAGAAAAGCAGAAATTGACAATTTTGTGAATGTAACACACAAAATTCAATGCAAAAAAAGAGCGTAGAGCCGTGAAATAAAGACTATACGCGTCAAACAGTTTAATTACTCCTTATTGATATTTCATGACTATCATCTAAATTAATTGCTGGGAACGTCGCGATGTTTATTGTTGTTCACTTGAAATTCGCGTCTTGGTGCATGCACAAAGGCGTTTTGATATCCAACAAAATTGGGAATGTTAAGATGCTTGAACGCTTATCCAACGAAAAAGATTTGCTAGCTTATCATAACGAACACTTTTGAAACTCAAAACACGTTGTTTTCTGTTCACCGGCATCAAGATCCATGCAAAACACACACTTTTATTCTTGAATTTACAGAAAGTTCAGCCCGTCACAAAAATGAATCTACTCGATTTCGACCCCCCCCCCCCCGCCTCCTTTCCTCCGCGGCCACTATGCCCTCCTCAAGTTTAAGCACTACATATTTTTGGTATATCAAAAAGCCCCATTCGCATTCTGCATTCATCGAAACACGCACAACCACCCCCCACTTGACGGCCCTCCTTCCACTTGAAATTCACCATAATTTTATTGTAGGCTGATACTAATTTGCATGCAAACATACAGACTTAGTTCGGGACACCCTATTCCTTCGTGAAACGGCACATTTTTTTTATCTCTTTACAAACTTCTTCATCTGAATCAACCTAAAGTTCTCCCCTACTCACACTATACTCTGTTTCACCTTACGATGTACCGCAGGAAAGGCTACAAGCGTGAGCTCCTTGCTCTAGGGCACATATCGGCGGCACAAGCTCTCGTGACTTAGGAGCAGCTGCCAACGCTATGAGCTCGAGCTTCTAGCCTTCGCTGCGGTACAACATAAGGTGAAACGAAGTATAATTGCCACCACACCTTCCACACGAACCCCTCTTTCTTCCTTAGACCCCTTCCCCCCTCTCCCCTCGATCCCCGCCTCCGCTCAAACAAAGCCGCTTCGTTTCCAGCCACCATGTATACCCTGCTCTTCTAAATGTTTAAACAGCATCCCCTTTCCCCTTGTTCTCATTCGCAAACCCCCACCCCCTCTCCATTTTCGTAACATCTAACCCTCATCACCTGCCCCATCCCTCCCCTCCTAACAGCATACCACACTCTCCCGAGAGCGAGCATTCCTTCTCTCCCTCGTCTTCCGTTTCCCCTTTCTACTTAGATCTAGAGTGTGTACACATGGGGCCAACCTCCGTGTGTACGCACGTGGGCCAGACTCCGTTTCCCGTTACCGTGAACCGCGCTGAACGCTACAAGCCGTCTCAGCCAATCAGGCAGCGCGAAGGGCATCGCGTGACTATAAGACCCGCGCATAGTCACTTGATTCTTTCACGTAGATATGCGCGGTGAATACGCGTCAACCACGCGACAGCATCAGTAGTTTGACCGTCACGTGATACTTTCACGTAACAGTCAACTACGTGAAACAATACTTGGTTTTAGCTTAAAGGGGTCATGAAACGATATCGGGTTGGAATGTTCGCGACTTTACAGAGGCGTACCATGTCCTAGTCTGGCCCAAGTATACTAGCACGGATTACCACTGATTCAGAAGGTTCTTGGTCGCGGTGAAATTGCGAGTATAAAAGGAGAATTCCTTTCGGTCTTGCATTGCGTAATGCTTGATAACGTAATTGTGGGATCGAAACCACCCGCCTGACAACAGTCGGGCACGGCTCATGAATCAGACACGAGTACTGCGCAAGCACCGGACTTCGGCTTGTAACAATCAATGCCTCGGCGGACACTCGGGTAGTAGTGACTCGTGTCCAACCACTGCAGTGACGAGAATAGCCTAAAGGCCCGTTCACACTCTTGCGACCGAGTACGACTGAGAGAGACGAGATCTCTTCCAACTTCTTAAATGTTTCTAGAATGAGGGAACACACTGACATTGTGGCGCCATCTATGCGGTGACCCTAGAACTGCATTTCACAAAAGCGAAGGTTTTGCGGGATTTCCGAGGTCAAATGTGCGTAATACCCATAGAAAGGCTCGTTTAGAACATTGACAAAAGCTTTTCGAGCCAAAAAAGAAAGGATATTGGGCGAGAAATAAAAAAGAATATGCCGGACCGCCGAGTTTGCACTGCTTCCCAATAGATGGCGCCAGTGTGTTCTCTGGTTTAAGAAGTTTTAAGGAACCCAGGTTTAAGAGGTCGCAAGCAGTCGCAAGAGTGTGAACGGGCCTTAACTCTAACAATGCCTGGAGCTCAGCACGGGTTTTCTACGTTGCGAACCCCCAGCGCGTGGCTACGAATAACGCAAAGGCGTTATTCGTAGCCACGAATAACGAATAATAGGGAGTTTTCGTAGATCGTTTTCGCCGTCCCGCAAAGCCCTCCGCAACACGCTACGATAGCGGGAACTCCACAGTCAAGGCTATCGGCGCGCAGGCGCAGTAGCAACTTCGTTGCGGAACGCTTTGCGGAGGGAGCCAGCGCGGTCTACGAAAACACCCTATTAATATCTTAGCGCAAAGGCGTCGGCGGAATAACGGCTATAGTTGTCGGAACGATCTACTAAATCTCCCTAAAGGCGCGTGACCCTTCTCCAACGTCACGTGCCACTCACGCGGCATTTCTATTGGATCGGATGGCTCGTAGCATCGTCTCCTGATCTGAAACGAAGCATTCACCCAGAAGCCGCGGCCCGTTGCCGAGAAAACAAGTAGCCCCTTGTTGTTGTTTTTTGCTTTTTTTTTTTTTCCTTTTGCGGTAGAGTTACCGCGGAGATGTTTTGTGTGCCGCGACGACGGCGAGCGCAAACACGATCGGGTCGCCTTTCTTCGTCGCCTTTGTCGGGGAGTTGGAAAAGAAACCGCTTTCGCTCTCTGCGCCCGCCGTCACGGACAATTTAGTCCGGGGTCTGCTCCCCGCAGAGGAAGAGCGAGGAAGGGAAGACGGGGGGCGGGGGGTACCCTTGTTTCATTTTTAATTGCCTATAGCTCGCTGTAGGAGTCTCGGGTGTTTCAAAAGGGGTATTAGCCAGCGTCGTACCCGGGCTTTCGTATGCAGGTTTGAGAGCACGGTCTCTGCCCGACGCTATCTGGTTACTGGTGTGTGTGTGTAGGACAGACTTCTACGTAGTTCAACTACTCTACTCAAGTTACTGTAGTTTAACTATTTTTGTGAGTAGTTTAGTAACTTTCAATTACATTTTTATTTCGGTAATTAGTAGTTTCCTTGAATTACTTTTTCCGAGTAACTTCCACTCAAGTTAGAAATTACTTTCAAATGTTAGTGGTTGTTTTGCCTTTACAAGCACTTCTGCAGAAAGGAGATAAGATGTTGCAAGATCAGCTGATATTAGCAGAGGGGGAAGCATGTGGCGTAGGAAGGGGGGGGGGGGGGAGAAAAGGTATTTGGAGAGTCCACCCCCCCCCCCCCCCC